CTATATCTGATGAAACTGACAGGAAATACTTAAGTATAGAAAAATTACTTGTATTTTAATGTCTAACTTTCTGGTACTTTCTCCCATTCTCCTGTTTCTTCCTGCTTTTCCATTTATCCTTTATCTTTATTATATAGAGACAATTTTTGCTTATAGTGTTTAAATAAACATGTGATATCAGTTCTCTGTGTCACTGTGGCTAGGTTATTGCCCAACTATTCAATCAAAAACAATTCTAGGTTTTGCCGTGATGGTAGTTTATATGATTGAAATCCAAAATGAGTTGACTTTAAAGATTATCCACTTTGATGTGAGTAGGCCTGACTCGATCAATTAAATGTACTTATGCACAGAGCTGAGGTTTCCCTAAAGAAGAAATTCTGCCTGTGCCAGAAGCTTCAGCTCCTGCCCTAAAATGACAGTGGCTTGAGCTATGGCTTTTAGACTTGCCTGCCCGGCCCTCACAGTTGTATAAGCCGACTCATCACAATACATTTCTTAATATATATCTTCTGCTGATTCTGTTTAGTTGAATTCGGACTGCTGAAAAACTAGTTGTATTTTAGATTGTTCTGATGTATTGGAGGAGAATAAAGAGAGGATAGGGAAGGAGATATCTGGTTGTCTAATTATTCATTTTAGGTTTCCTCTCTAAAATTGTAGAGCTGAACAGATGACAAGAATCTCAGAACCAGTTCAATTCCAGGAACATCATGTAAAGCTAAATTGGGGTTCAAGACTGTAACTGTTTAAAAACCCATACACATGGTGATAAAGATAAAACTTCAGAGTAAAAAGTGTGCTAATTTTCATTCATTAAAATGAAAAGCAAGTTTCTTACAATTTCACAAATTATTTTAGAATTTAATGTTCAGAAAATGATGGTTAGTAAATTTTAATTAGCCATAAAGATGTTCAGGTAGAGAAGGCAAATTCTTTTCAGGCTTTTGCTAGGTAAATATACATAAATCACACATTGTTACATTTAATTTTTACGATCTGGTTTACACTGTAGAAGTGAAAAAAACTAAAACTCAGTGAAGACATAGAAAATTTAGAGCAAGCCCTCCCCGTGGTTTAGATCTGTGCGGATGTCCCTCTGGGAGAATCTTGACACAGAATCCTTGTGCGTGTGGAGGCAGCTCAAGGTGCCTGGTGAGGAGAGAGAAGGTGGTGGATGACGATACATTGTTTTACCTTTGGAGGGAACAGCTCTGCTTCGGGGAGGATGGGAGTAGTTCCCAGTGGGAAGTATGTCCCACAAAAACAACTCCCTGTGACTTTTAACCATCACTCTACAGAACTTCAGAAGTTGTTCTTTAGTGTGAAAGCTGTAGATACTTTATGTCCACATGAGAACATGCTAACAATGTAGATATAGAGGTTTATTCTGGATGGGAGAAGTCAACCACATAAAGTGACAGTTATGTTTAACACAACTATTTAACACATATCAAAGATCAAGGATTAAAACACATATCAAAAGGTCAAGGATTAAAAATATTATTGGGTAGTGTTAAAGGGCTCTAAAGTGGCAGAGAACATTGTTAGTTCCATTTCCTCCCAAAGGAGTTGCTCCTAAGGGGACGATTCAGTGCCTGTGCTTATGATGGTCCTTCACAGGTTACAAGGTAGGGTTGCGATCTTCAAAAGAAGCCCAGAATGGCTCTTTGGGGGATGATGATCACTATTATCTCACATGGATGCAGAAGGTGGGAATTAGGTGGCCAGGAAGAGGAAAGAGACAATGTTCCTTTTCTTTTCTTTAGTCTTTTTTTTTTTTTTTGAGGGCTTATTACAGCGTAGTGCCTAATATAGTGGAGGCATCGGTGCCTGTTGCATACTAGTAATTTGGCATTGGAAAAGCTCCAGAGCCTCTGTGTGATAGCTTCCTCAACCATAAGCAGGGATTACAATCATGACTGTATCACAGAGCTGTGGTGAAGATGAAATAACACCTGAATAGTGCCTGGATTAAGAAATACTTGTAAATTACTGTTCTACTTCTCTGTCTCCTCTTTTTCACTCCTACTAATTGAAAATATGCTTTCCTGTTGAGTTTTATCACCTGCTCAGCAAAAGTAGCAAAATGTTCAGAGAACATAAATTTTTCTTACATTAAGAGGTTTCAGGATGTCTACCATTGGTCAGGCCTGTTTTCCAACATTATGTTCTCAGTACTGTGCTGGTTGTAAAAATGGCTTCTTTTTTTCTTTTTTGTTTTGTTTTTTGAAACAGGGTCTCACTATGTAGCTCAGGCTCGCCTGGAACTCACTATTTAGTCCAGGTTGATCTCCAACTTGTGGTGATTCTCCTGCCTCAGCCTCCTAAGTCCCTGGACTATGGGTGTGTACCACTAGACCTGGTCAGGGAATTTTCCCTCCTCTTTTTTGAGAAGTAGTCTGAGAAAAAAAATGAACTTATAAGTGGCTGATAAAATTACAAGCACATGTAAAATTTAACTGTAAATCAACTTTATAGACCCTAAGTGACTTAGGAATCTCATTTTATTTTGCTAACACTGGTTGTTGCTTTGATCACTTAAGAGGCAATTCCATTTGGAGGTGCTATTGAGAGGCTGAGTACTTATTCCAGTAATACCAAAAAGATTAAATATTTACTGTCTTAGAGTCTAAAATATATTATTGTTGGATCACAAGAAAGCAGGTTTAATGTAATTTACTTTTTCTTTCTTTCTTTCTTTTTTTTTTGGTACTGGGGATTGAACTCGGGTCATTGCGCTTGCGCAGCAGGCTGCAAAATCACTGAGCTAAATTCCTGGCCCTCTTTAAGGTAATTTAAGTGTGAGGTCACCATTGCCTTACTGTTAGCCCAACAGCATCAGCGCTCCCTAGTACTAGATGTGTCAAGATGGCAAAAACAGGAAGAACTGATTAATGCTTTGAAAAATAAAACAAATGACACTTATCAGAAGGTTTAAAATTTTAGTCAATGATTCTCAATGAGATCTTTTTTCTTTTGTACATTTTTTTTTTTTTTTTTTTGGTTTTTTGAGGCAGAGTCTCCTTTTGTAGTTCAGGCTGACCCTGAACTCACTATGTAGCCCAGGCTGGCCTCAAACTCACAGCGATCCTCCTGCCTCAGCCACCCGAGTGCTGGGATTACAGGCGTGTGCCAGAAGCTCCAGATTCCTCTCCTTCCCTTGGTGGCAAGTGTGAGGGGGCTGTGCATGGTCACTGTAAGATTATTTAGTGAAAAGGGGTTTGGCTTTCTTAAAAATGATAGCTCGGTCAGATCTTGTGAGATCATAGTAGTCAGGGTACAAAAAACAGGTCTTTGGGTTAAAAAGTACTTTTTGCTGCCCATCATACCCTTACTTGCTACAGAAACATGCTGTGTGCCTTGTGTGAGAGATGTACGCACAAAAGATCATGTACGGTTAGCCAGACAATGAGAAAGCATCACAATGTTTCACCAAAGTGACTCCTGTTCAACGCTTAAGACATTTTTGAGTATTACTATAAAATGGTCTTAGCCTCGGCCTCATTTCATTATTTTTTTTTTGTATTAAATTCTTTTATTGGTACATTGTAGGTATACAACACAATTACATTTCTCATTGGGAATTGTACCTTTACATAATGCATCTTGGTTCTTATTTTTTCCCCATTCCTAGCCCTCCCTTCATGCCCTCCACCCTTCCCTATTTACAAAGACTTTATTTCCATTTTTTCCATTTCTCATCATTTTTTCCTTTCCCTTCTTTCCTTTCCCCTGTGCTTCCCACTACCCCTACCCCTTTGGACCTTTTATTCCTATTTTACATTATCGATTATTCATTCTAATAATTGGTACATTTTAGGTATACAATATAATGACATTCATCATTGGAAATTTGCACCTTTACATAATCTCTCTTGGTTCTTGTTTTTCAACCTTGCCCAGCCCTCCCTTCAACCCCTCCAGTCCTCCCTATTTACAAAAATTTTGTTCCTATTTTTCCATTTCTCATATTAATCCCATTCCCTTCTATCCTTTCCCTTAGCCCTCCCACTTCCTTCCCCTTTGCCCCTTTTCTTCCTATTTCACATGACCTGTTATACATTTAGTCATTATTTACACTTTCAGTTTCTCACACCAGAGAAACTATTCGGTATTTACACATCTGTGTCCTATTTATTTCACTTAAGAGTATTGCCTCAATGTGCATCCACTTAGCTATAAATGTCTCTAATTTCTCATTTTTTATGGCTGAGTAGTACTCCATTTTATAAAAAAACCACATTATTTTCTTCTGTCCTTCCTGCATCCTGCAACTCTAAAGGCCTCTCCGTGAAAGACATAGGAGACAGTCTGAAAAATCTGTTGGATTTTTACCAAGAAAAGGGGAAAAAAGATTTAACAAAATTATCCCACACAGGATTTTTTTAAGGCAGTGAGGAAGTGAAAATACTGTTTGATACTCTAATGGTCGCTAGTTACTATTAATTTGCCCAAACCCTTAAAATGTACGACATCAAGAATGAACCCTGATGCAAACTATGGACCTTGCGTGAGGTTGGTGCGTCAGGGAGGGTCCCTCGGTTGTAACAGATGTTCCCACTCCAGTGGGGACTGTCGGTAACGCACCGTCAGGGGGTACACGCCAGTGCGGGAGCAGAGGGAACGTGCGGCGTCTCTGTACCTTCTCAATTTTTCTGTGTACCCGAAGTGGCTCTAAAAATAATCCAAAACAAACCCAAAACCCTGTATCTGAGTAATGATTTTGCATAAGCACTTCTGGAGTGGGGGTAAAACTGCGACTTGGTCTAGGTGTCTAGAATTCGTCCCCTCTTCGATAGCCGTCTCTGTGCAACGTGATTGCTCACTCGCTCGTCCCTGCGCGAAACCAGTGCACATAGAAAAAACCTATCAAGGATGGGGATTTTTTTTTTCCCCTCCTCCTTTTGCCACCGCCCACTCCCGACAGGCTGGCAACCTACACAGCTCTCCAGCACCTGGTTTACTTTTCCATCTCCTCCCTACCGGCGCCACCCTCCGAGCCCGCGGCACTGATGGAACCCCGATGGAGCCAGCGAGCATGCGCGGCTGTCCCGAGCATGCTCAGTGATGCGCGCGGCGCCCCGGCACCTCCCCCGCAAGCCGCGAGTGACGCGGAGGTCTCCGCCGAGCCTGCAGGAGCCACAGGAAGTAAAGCGGCCCCGTCGGGCCACCGCGGCGGCAGAAACCGAGGCGGAAGGGGCGCTGCGGCTACGACGTCGTCGACCGGGGAGGCCGAGGTTGCTGAGCGACGAGGCGACTTGCCCTCGCGGAAGCCGGATCCCGAGCCCGGCAGGATGGATCATCACCAGCCGGGGACTGGCCGCTACCAGGTGGTGAGTTTCGGCCTTCTGCGTCTCCCGGGACCCCAGGGTCGCTTTCTTCAGCTTATTCCCGGAGAGGACGTGCTAGTGATTATTATTTTAGCTCCTCCGGCCTCAGTGTCTTCCCTACACCTTTTCTGTGGACCTTTGCTCATGACTCCATCAACACCCTGCCCTCTGGCCCCAGGTCTCTTTCTAGCCCTGTACTCTTCATTGAAAACACCCTCCCCTCCCCTTAAAACTTATTTGTATTTTATTTCACACTTTACCATTTATTTCCTGACGCAGTCACTTTTGAGACATTTCAGTCGGTTTTCTACTGCAGATGGGGCCAAGCTTACATAGCTGTCAGGAAGGCAATTGCCCTCATGATGGGGTGGGTGGAAGGCTGGGTGGGGCGGGCGTGAGCACTTCATAGGGTGGGAAGTGAATTTGGGGAAAATGGGTTAGGAATTTTGGAACTGTAGAGCATAGCTGTAGTGCTGATCTTGCTTTTTCTCTAGTTACCCTTGTCGTTTTTGTCCTTTTTAATTATGTTAGTATGAAAAGTGATTGCATTTTTCCCCATCCATATACATATATATATTCTATATATACATAGACATACATATATGTACACACAGCAAGAGGGGGATGAATTTTACTAGAAAAAAACTTGGATCTTGTTTGAAAAGTTAGTTTTTATTTAATAGGTTTTACAACATAATCATATAAACCTCTTAACTGTTTAAATGAGTGAAATGTGGTGTTCTGTATTTTCTTTGTCAGTTTTTCTACTGTATTTTTCCGTCGTGTATTCTGATGATGTCGTTGGAGATCCCTATTATAGGCCTTATTTTAAAATGGACTTGGTGTAATTGACTGTTCTCTTACATCTAGGTAGCATGTTGATCTGTAAACTTTCAGGTAATAATTTAGTTAAACCTATTCACTGAGGGAGAGGAGAAAAACATATACTGCTGATGGTGCAGTTTAGAGTTCATAAAATTGTACAAATGTAAATATGTTAGTCTCAGATTTCCCCTTTCATGTATTTTTGAACATAGAATGTGAACAAGAATTTCTGTTAATAAGTGCATTTTAACAAATATGAAGAAAACTGAAAAAGGAGATCCCAGGGTTTCTGATTTTTCATTTTTCCAAGAGCTCATAATGCATCCATTGTCATCTGGTTTATATCCTTTAAAGCCTCTAAATTGGTAGTGAACCTATGGCACGCATGTTATTTATTTATTTTTTTAAGACAAAAAATGTTAATATATGAGTTGTTTTTCTTAACTAAAACCTCAGTATTCAGATTTCATTGCAGTGTTGACACTGCTCGATAAATAAATGGGTTTTGGGTTGTAAGTTTGGACACTCATCTCTAAAAGTTTACCATCATTGCTCTAAATGTTTTATCAATATTTTCAGAACAGCTTGGAAAATATTGCTGCCAATGTGGAATGTATTTTTCAAGTTGTCAGTGTTTTGTAAATGTTAGCAAAAATAAAATCAATAGATGAATGCGGAATAATACTAGTAGTGGTGCTTTTTCATTTTTCTAATATTTCCTGTTCTTTGTTTTTCCAAATGGCAGGAGCTGATATGAATTCTTTCTCTTTCAGTGCTTTTGGTTATTGGAATAAGCCGTGTTTCAGACACAAATCACTACTCAAAACATTTTTAACTGATGTAGTTGTGCCTTTATTATATTGTCATATTGGCTTTAAATGGATGTAACTAGTTGCAACTTACTATTTTTAAAAATACTTGCTGCAGAAATGTTGAAATTTGCTTTCAGTTTTGGAACATTCTTTCTCTACAACTACTTTCAAATTGGTGAACAGTATCTACATTTTATTGCCTCACCTCCCCCTTTCCAAGTAAAGCTATGCCCTGTATGGACTTTGAGTGAGTGGAGGCATTCCTTGAGAGCAGAGGTTAAAATTCAATCATTATGTAAAATCTTCCTTTTTAGGTACCATATCAGTTTGTTTTCATTGTAATACAAAGCATTAGGAAATGTTACATGGTTAGAATTTGCATTTTAATTTCTGTAGTGTCTAATTACATAGTAATTCCATCAATCCAGAATAACTTGGTATTGCTGAGAATGGCTTGATCAATTACTATGCCTAGGTATATGCTATAGAAGCAGCTGCAGTTAAGTTTTGAATAGACTTTGTAGCTAGATAAAAATCAGCAACTCTGGCTTATATGATGAAGTCAACTGTTTTATGACTGTCTTTTTGGGGGGGGGTACTGGGGATCGAATTTGGGACCGTGCGCTTTTGAGGCAGGTGCCAGAACCACTGAGCTAAATCCCCGGCCCTATGACTGCCTTTTGCTCAGTTTTATTTTTTTTAAACTGGAATGATTAATAAACTGGAACAATAAATGACTTTGGTTGTTGAGTGTTAAAAGGTGACGCAGGTGTACTTGCAGATGAAATAGTATACCTTGTTAATTTATTACTTTTTGCAATTTAATTTCTCCATACTGGAAAGTTAGCAGTGATGCCCAGAGACATCAGCATGACTTACTGCTATTAACCAGCCAACAAGCTTTATCTGGCAACTGCTTTTTCTGAGGTTTCTTCTTTGAAAAAGATCCTAATTTTGTAAACTAGAGCAGTGAATAACAATGTAGAGCTACAAAATTTCTTGGTTGGTATTCTTTTAAATTTGTAAAATATTAGACATGATATGTAGTTCCATCACATTATGGGAAATTTAGTTTTGTCTGGTAGGAAAAGAGCAATGTTGCCAACTATTAAGTAGTTAACTTGGTTTGCAAGCTCTTCAGCCACATTCGAACTTCAATGTTCTCAGTTTTAAAGTGTCATGTGCCTGCACCAAGCTGAATACTAATATTAAAAAGGTATTCTGTGTGCAATTTAAATTTCCAGTATACATTTTAACAGCAGTTTCCCAAATTATTTTAGAATGGTGATAAAAGGTGTTTTTGGAAGATTTATGACATATACTAGCATATTAAAACCGTAAGAAATTCTGTAGCAGTGACAATGGTTTGGATTTTACACTAGCTCTTCCTTATTTTTTACCACAAATTTTTTTTATTATGTCAATATTTCCAAGATATTAATTATTTTGTGGAACATTATTTGTAGTAGTCATACTGTGAAGATATGACTACTTTGCTCTTGTATCTGGAGAATTAAAAATTGTCCTTGATAAATAAGAAGGAAGCTGGACAGTGAATGATTAAAAATAGGTTTGGGGGCTGGGAGAGTACTCCTCAGTGGTTAGAGTGCTTCTAGTATGTCGACATGTGCAAGGCCTTGGATTTGATCCCCAGCACTATAAAAACAAAACAGGCTTTTGGTTTGTTTTCTTTGAGACAAGGTCTTGCTACATAGTCCAAGTTGGCTTTTAACTTGCTGTGTAGTAGCTTAGGCTCGCCTGGAATTTGAGATCCTCCTGCTTTAGTCTTCCAAATGCTGGAATTATAGGTGTGTGCTACCACTCCCAGCACAAAACAGGTTTTAAAGTCATCTGAGTTTAGATTTAGGTTGTGCTGTTTGCAGTTCTTGAAGTGCCTTAATTACTTTGCATCTGAAGTCTATTTTCTCATACTAGTGCCTCCTCATTCGGATTATTATGAGAATTAAATACGTAGTATATGTAAAACATAGAGGATGGCACATGATAAGTACTGTATTTACAAATTAATAAATTGGTCTGTTAATGTTTCAAGGTTGCTGGCCGAAAACAAGAGACTCCAAAGTCAGAGATAAGTAGTATTATTCATGGCACAACAAGCCACATGAAAGCATATTTGACAAGGTTTTCTTTACTGCCAACTCCCAGCAGGATAATGGGTGTTAAGAGGGACAGGAGGAGTACGTATGTGTCACAGCTGAGGAACTCAAAGAACTCAGAGCCAAGAGGGCAGCACTGCTTTGTTTTGTCTTGTAGTTTTTTTTGTTTGTTTGTTTTTTTACCACCAGCAAACATTGTAGCAAACAACAAACAGGCTGGTTGAACTGTCTTTGTGAGGGCAGGTACCTGCTGTGGTTGTCTTGATCTTTGTTGTCTTGTGTATCTTATACACTGGATAGTTCAGTATCAGCAAATGGAAAGCTATGCAGATGACACACTCAGCAAGAATGGGGACATTCAGCCCACCCACAGATCTCACTGTGTAGTGTATGTTATGGATAAGATAATGCAGTATGGTGATATTTCAGGTGTAGTCCTTTGCTTTCATTTTCCATTTTAAAAAAGTACTGCAGCCTTTTATGTTACTTTCTAGTTATCACCCTCTCTTTTAGATCATTCTGATTCTCATAATCTTCATTTGTTTCCTTTGAATTTATCTACCTTTTCTGCCTTACGTTATTAGCCCACTTCTTTTACGTTAATCATGGTTTCTAGTTGTATTTGTCTTCCTTGAACTGTTATGTTGACACTAACTTTCTCCTTGAAACTCGTTTCTTGTTCCTGATTACAAGAAGCTTTCTACTTTTCTTTCTTTTTTTTTACTGTACCAGATCAAACTCGGGACCTTGCGCTTGCGAGGCAGGCATAGTGCCACTGAGCTAAATCCCTAGCCCCAATTTTTTTTTCTTTTTTCAGTACTGGGGATTGAACTTATGACCTTGTGCTTACAAGGCAGGTGCAGTGCCACTGAGCTAAATAAATCCCCAGCAAACATTTGTCCATACTCTTCCCCCGCCCCGTACTGGGGATCGAACTCAGGACTTTGCACTTTCAAGGCAGGCGCAGGACCACTGAGCTAAATCCCTGGTCCTGTTTTACTTTTCTTGACATCTTTGGCTTTTCTTCTCCTTATGAGCTCTTTTTTTGTACTTACCCCGTTTACTTTAAATATTGATGCTTTCTTTACATGTCATAAAATAGCCACTTTCTACCTCTTTCATTATCTGCCTTCCCTTCAATGTATTGTTTGCATTGCATGAGCCGTATTTGTATAATGTAAATTTGATTTTTAGTTTTTTACTCAAACACTGTCAGTAGCCTCTTATTGAATTCCCCAACATTTAACAA